AGTGAGCTAACACTAGAGATTATGGTTCTTGAGATAACCACAAGAAGAAGTATAAATATTATTTTAAGAGACACACCAAACTTTTCCACCTACAATGATGTTATTTATTTAAGTGAATGCTTCATTAAAAACACAAATTGGTTATTTCAAATTTGGTTGTAAGATTAGTTTTAAGATAAATAACACCGCTTATAAAAATAAAAATAAATTAAGAACTGAGTCTTACACATGCAAGAAACTTAAATAACTTTCTAACTTTTAAAAGTACTTATTTATTTAGGTAAAATCGTCACTTTACACTCTCCATAAATGCCTAATTTTGGAAGCATGGAAGGAAATGCCTCAATTCAAAGCTTTTTGAGCCAACAAAAGCCCAAACAATCTCATATTCTCAAAGTTAACTGTGGCACTTTTGGGTCTGGAATTTAAGTATTTTTTACCACAACTATACTATGATTCTCAAAGTGGTATACATGTTAAATTCGTAAAGATAAATGATTCAATCTACAACATATTTGGATTTCACAAACCCTTTCAAATTTTTTCTTTGGTCTAGAATTTAAGTTTTGTGTAGATCTTAAAAAATGATCTGGTTATTTTTAGGAGGTTTTTATTTAAAGAAGTTGAGATAAAAGCGTTAATATAAAAATTGTACACAAATACTTAGCATGAAACTAACAAAATTTAATTCCTTCCATGGTGTAAAAAACTAGTTGAAAACTTGATTTGGGTTATCCGGTTAGTCGATAATAGAAATGAAATCCATTTAACAATGTTATTTACTGCTAGTAATTGTTTTAAATTATTATTAGCTTTAACTAATATTGGATTATATTTGTATTTTAAAATCGGAAAAAAATATAAATTTAACTTAGACATCTGCCGAAAGGTTAGCTTTAATTTATTTTATATTAGAGTAAAGATTTGGATATTTTGGCAAGAAAAATGTTACAACAATGAAATATAAATTTATTAGATGAAAATAATTAAACAATTCACATTTTAAGCAGTTTTAGAGATAGAGACACAATGACTCCACAAGTCATCCCTCTTCTTTAAATATTGAGTTTCACGGCCAATTAAGCTTGGTCTGTCAGCAATATACTTAATGAGAGTATCGTGACACACTTTTCCTTCTTGCACAAGATCGTGGCAACAAGATTCAAAGAGAGTTCCATTTCCAAAGACAACCCAGATTATATTCAATGCACACTTAGGAGTGATTTTAACAAGACAAGTGTTCCATAATGATTTTGCCTCGGCTTCTTCGACTGAAAATACCGGAACAAACGCACACACCAAAGCTACAACAATGAATAGCGCAGTAATATGGGAGCTAAGTTTAGCCATGTCTGCTTATGTTTATAATTTACCGACGTATTCTTATTGTATAAAATGAATGTAATGAATTATGATTTCTATTCGTTATTTTACACATGAAGCTATGTAGAGTATATATAGGTAAATGAATAATCCACGTAACTAGAATAACATAATCTAATACTAACGTAATATATTAAATGAAAGTTTAACTTCTTGATTAATTAATAAAAAAAAGAACGTTAAAATTTATCATTTCAATCAATTTTTGATTTTTAAGAACAAAATTAATGATAGTAAGGATATCTTGTTCCACATAAAAAATTGGTGCTTAATCTTTTTTTCAATCAGTATGTTAGGGTTCCCTCGGGTCCCATTTTTCTTACGTTATATTGTATATTAACGGATGTTCGTTTTATGTGATTGCTTGGGTTCCATCGGTTGTTATTATTTCTTCTTACGGTATAGTGTTGGATAGTAATTCTGTGTTTTATGTGACATTTCCTTCGATGTCATTTTTTATTAGGGTATAGTTTGTTTTACGTGTGCGTACTAGAACCCTATCTCCTTTCTATAACTTTAGAATCGCTCAACCTTATTATTTTGATTCATTTGTATGATGAGTGACATTTACCATTGCTCAACCTCTAAAGGAAAATGAAGATGTCACCAAGTTTGAACAAGTAACAACATATGGTGCCATGAATCATCAAATCTTTTATATGTCCTCTAAAAGTTATGATTGTTGAAAATTTGCCTTCTTGTTTTATTAGTGAGCTAACACTAGAGATTATGGTTCTTGAGATAACCACAAGAAGAAGTATAAATATTATTTTAAGAGACACACCAAACTTTTCCACCTACAATGATGTTATTTATTTAAGTGAATGCTTCATTAAAAACACAAATTGGTTATTTCAAATTTGGTTGTAAGATTAGTTTTAAGATAAATAACACCGCTTATAAAAATAAAAATAAATTAAGAACTGGGTCTTAAACATGCAAGAAACTTAAATAATAACTTTCTAACTTTTAAAAGTACTTATTTATTAAGGTAAAATCGTCATTTTACACTCTCCATAAATGCCTAATTTTGGAAGCATGGAAGGAAATGCCTCGATTCAAAGATTTGAGCCAACAAAAGCCCAAACAATCTCATATTCTCAAAGTTAACTGTGGCACTTTTGGGTCTGGAATAATTTAAGTATTTTTTACAACAACTATACTATGATTCTCAAAGTGGTTTACATGTTAAATTCGTAAAGATAAATGATTCAATCTACAACATATTTGGATTTCACAAACCCTTTCAAATTTTTTCTTTGGTTTAGAATTTAAGTTTTGTGTAGATCTTAAAAAATGATTTGGTTATTTTTAGGAGGTTTTTATTTAAAGAAGTTGGGATAAAAGCGTTAATATAAAAATTGTACACAAATACTTAGCATGAAACTAACAAAATTTAATTCCTTCCATGGTGTAAAAAACTAGTTGAAAACTTGATTTGGGTTATCCGGTTAGTCGATAATAGAAATGAAATCCATTTAACAATGTTATTTACTGCTAGTAATTGTTTTAAATTTTTATTAGCTTTAACTAATACTAGATTATATTTGTATTTTAAAATCGGAGAAATATAAATTTAACTTAGACATATGCCGAAAGGTTAGCTTTAATATTTATTTTATATTAGAGTAAAGACTTGGATATTTTTGGCAAAAAAAATGTTACAACAATGAAATATAAATTTATTAGATGATAATAATTAAACAATTCAAATTTTAAATATAGAGACACAATGACTCCACAATTCATTCCTCTTCTTTAAATATTGAGTTTCACCGCCAATTAACCTTGGTCTTGCAGCAGTATATTTAATAAGAGTATCGTGACACACTTTTCCTTCTCGCAACATGATTTATAGAGAGTATATTTCTAAAGACAGCCCAGATTATATTTAATGCACACATAGGAGTGAATTTAACAAGACAAGTATCCCATAATGATTTTACCTCGGCTTCTTCGACTGAAAATACAGGAACAAACGCACACACCAAAGCTACAACAATAATAGCGCAGTAATATGGGAACTAAGTTTAGCCATGTCTGCTTATGTTTATAATTTACCGACCTATTCTTAAAAGATGGAAGAAGAACGACATTATGGTCCCGTCTCCAAGGAGCGGTGATTACCGACGCTTCTTCTATCTTTTCCCCTCTTTTCCTCTATTTACTGAAATCAAGCAAGTTCGATTCAACAACTTTAAGGTTAGTATTCAAGAATCTGAAAGTTTGAGGAAGAACGGCATTATGATCCTGTCTCCATGGAGCGGTGGTTACCGAAGCTTCCTCAACCTTTTATCTCCACTCCCACCCGACTATAGAACCAAAGTCAACCATCTCCTTGCCGATGAGCAACTCCAGCTCGCCTTTCTCGCGCCGACGAGAACCTCGGTTATGGAACCCTCTTCAACGTCATCTCGTCTTTTGACAGTGACCACTTCGTCGTCCTTCGATTCGCTCGAGGAAGATCATTCGACTAGCCGTGACCTCACATGTGCCAAACGCTTAATTGCTTTTGTCTTAAAGCTCTCATGGAATCTTTGTCGTTTTCACCTTATCTATCATGTTATGGCATTGGGGAATGCCTTCTTTATTTATGTTTTAAACTTTGTGATCTCTGTATCACTCCTCTTGTACTTGGTTTGATTTGATGAATGAAAACAAGTTGTTGTCCAAAAAAAAAAAAAAAAAAAAAACTAGAATAACATAATCTAAAATTTACGTAATAAATTAAATAAATGTTTAACTTCTTGATTAATTAATAAACGAAGAACGTTAAAATTTATCATTTCAATCAATTTTTTATTTTTAAGAACAAAATTAATGAAAGTAATGATATCTTGTTCCACATAACAAATTGGTGCTTAATCTATTTTTCAATCAGTATGTTAGGGTTCCCTCGGGGCTTATTTTTTCTTACGGTATATTGTATATTAACTGTTTGTTTTATGTGATTTGTTTGGGTTCAATCGGTTGTATTTTTTCTTACGGTATAGTGTTGGATAGTAATTATGTGATATTTACCATTGCTCAACCTGTAAAGGAAAATGAAGATATTAGCAAGTTTGAATAAGTAAGCGACTTAATCGTTAAGACACAAAAAAGATTTGCTTAATTATTCGAGTTTTCTTTGTTTCAAGGATTTGTTTTCGAGTTTTAACCTTTAAATTAAAACAAAAATAATTGATGATATATATATTAGAGATGCATAGTTTGAACCAATAAAGTTCACTGAATAAACTCAGAAAAATGGAAAGAAAAATCTAATTACTTAGAAAACCTCATGCAAATGAAATGTAATTTTAAATTCCACCCAATAAAATATAAAGATGGATTTTATCTTTTTATAATACCCAACCTATCAATTTGTTAACTTTCTAACAGAGAGTCCAACGCACCGTTTCATTAACTAGCTAAAACGATTGTGTATCGTTTATTAAGCAAAAACATAAAAACTCATCTTCTCTACATCGATTTTTTTTTCCGATTTGGGGAAGAAAGGCGAGAACTTAGGGTTTGTGTTAGTGATCTTTGTGGTGGATTCCATGTTCTATGACTGATTATGTTTGATCCGAATTCCTAAATTGCGATTTCGTGGTTTATGTACAATTACGTTTTTCAACTTTGATCTTCTCTCTTTTACTGAAAGTTTTTGTTTCGAATCGATTGAAGTTTTATCTATGAGTTTTGGATCTGTATTGTTAGCAAAGTTGGGAGGTTTTTGAGTAACGGAGCTTATGGTTTGGTGTAACCATTGTGGGAAGATAGTTCCCGGAACACGTCCTTATGATGGTACATTGTATGTGTTTGAATTGTTAGTTATCTGAGATGTTGAATCTGGATTTGTGAATTAAGAACTTCACTTATCTGTTGTAGGGCATGTGATTTATGTGGGAGGATATTGGAAAATTTCAACTTTTCTAGTGAAGTTACCTTTGTTAAGAATGCAGCTGGACAAGTAACATCTTTTGAATTTATTTAGTGTATATTAGGGGTGATCAATAGGATGCAAGATTAGTGTCTATTGGGGGTGAGAACTTTCTCCAGTTTTATGTCTAATTTGTCTATTTCCATCTTTTACTGTTTACTGTTTCTCGTAGCAAATTACTTGCAATGCCCTCGCAAAGTTGCGTCGCAAATCGACTGTTTTCTTGTAGTGAGTTGACATTCATTTGCTTTTCTTTTCTAAATTTTTTTTGCAGTTCATAAATGTTGTTGGTAGGTCGGATCCTCGTGCTTTCCAGCGAGCAGAGAAAGAGAGAATGGGAAAAGATTCTAGAGAAGAAAACGAGGGAGGAATTGGTAGTAGCTTAAACCACGATGAACAACTATCGAAATAGATTATAGTTTTTTTTTTGTTTTTTTGCTATTGTTTGAGCTCTTGAGAATGTTTTTGTGCTGTGTCTCAGAGAAAAGTGAAGGAGAAACAGATGGGGATGATAGACATGCTGAAGATTCGGATGAAGTAGGCAATCTTTTTGACATCGGAGATGTTGAGGTGGGCAATAATTTTGCTTCCTTCTGATGTATAACCTCGAAGATAGAACATGAAATGGAAAAAAATTCTCTACAGTCTATCTCGGTCTTTTTCCGTACTACAGTTTCACTTTGCATTTGATGGTTGCTCATAGTATTTCGATGTTTTCCAGGTGAAGGGCTGTTTTCTCACAAAGCATGAAAAGATCTTGACGAAAATCTCATGGGAATTAATTAACAGAGACAATCTTGAGGTGATAGGCTATATCATTTATCTTCTCTTGTATTCCTTCTGAATTGTTGCATACATAAGAATCGTACCAAATTATATTGTTTTGTAGAAGCAAGCAGCTAAGGAAGCAGCTCTGAAGACGGCTAGTGAAGCTTTAAATGCGAGCAATGCTAATTGCTCAGAATACGCAAGAAATCTTGTCGAGACTTCTAAAGCAGATGTGAAAAATTCTAGAAAGGTGACTCGATTTTAAATTTGCAATTATGTTCATGCTTTATAACAATTATACGACTTATGGAAAATAATATGATGTGCATTAGTGACCTATATGGTTTCTCAATCAAACTCTTGTTCTCTCTTCTCTCTTGATTTAGGAACAGCGACAAAAAGGGGCTATGGAAGCGAAGAACGCGCCTCCCTCAGCCACAGCCATGGAAGCTGTTCACAGAACACTTGAGAAAAGGGTAAAAGTGTGCCTTTAATAGTTAAAAGCAGAGTATTGTGTTGTAACCAAGTTTTATTCAGCAATTATCATATGTTACCCTAAAACCGCAACATATCTATTAAACATTGCTCTGAAGAAAACGTTTGGAGTATGTGTTTCTTCCTCTTTCTGACTTGAGTCTTGACTCTTACAGACTTACTAAGTTAATCAACTACGATCTTTTGGACGAGCTCTTTACTACATAAGTAAGTTTTTTTCATTATCTCTTATTGTTTACCTTTGAAAACATCATGGCTAATTTATCAAGTCTGAGTTTTTAGCTCTATACAACTTTATTCTTATTTCTTCTATCAGCCATTTGAGAAATCACCTAAGAGATCGAAACCAAGACAGCCATGGAGGAGAAGATGGAATTGAAGAGCAATGAACATGAGAATGGTGACAATGACGAAGAGATGAGCGTATAATATAGATAAATGTTGTGCATAGAAAACATAATGCTGAGTTTTCCACCAAAGTCCATTGTTCTGTGCCCCATGTTATATACCTTCATTAGTTAAGAGATTAATGTAGCCAGTCATATTGGTAGAAGTTACTTGCTTTTAGAAAACTTCTGAGTCAGAAAGTCTTGAGTCTTTACACTCTGTTGGGTACAATGAGATTAATCAAGGCTACTATGGTTTTGAAGAACAATAAGTATTGTTTAATGGGATTGTTCTCATGTCTTTTCAAGTCAATGAGATAAATACTCATCAGACACATTCATTGCCTGACTACTCTGCAATCAACCTTAAATTCCGAATACAGCTCTTCCATCAAACTTATTCCAGACTCAGTCCTAGATGCTATAGGCTCTTTTGAAATCGTAGATATCTCCTCCAACTTTGGAAACTTTTCTAGATTTTCAAGCATGTACCTTCTTGACACCATCCAAGAAATCTTCCCTTTTGTTTTGTTTGGGTGATAGCGAAAAAAATGCTAAACCATTTTAGAGTATTAATCAGCTCTAATGTCTACAATAATAAAATAAATAGAATATGTCCAAAGTAGACACGTTATAAACCAACACCTAACAACATAACTAAAAAGTTAAAACGCTTACAATCTCATAGACCAATTGTGATCCGTCTTCACAAGAGGCCATGAAATGGTTGATTTTACATTGTAATTAAAGAAAACTAATTAACGGATGTAGAATATATAAGTTTTAAATGTTAAATAATACCTTGAAAAGAATTTGGACCCACACCTCGCACAAGTGACGACATCGGTTATTTTCTCCTCATCATCAAGGCGAATGAAGCTGCTACACTCTACTACGGGGCACATCATATACATCTGTTAAGTGAAGTTAAAGACACAAAAAAGATTGCTAGCTAACCTTGGACAATGCATGGTCTTACATACCAAGTATATTATTGTATTCTCAGCTACACGAAGTAGATGTATTGCATGGCCACATGTATGAACCATACGACGTCATGTGGTTAACACCATAGACATACAATTCTGGTACACCGATCGATTGACTCCGGCGTTGACCAACAAAAATAGTCAAAAAAAAAAATTAATTAAGAAAAAACAAAAATAGTTTTCTTTGGTGTTGTATAATCAAAAAACACATTATATATCCAATATAAAGATATTTTTATATAGATTTCATACATTAATTCTTATAATAGTTAGTTTGTTTAATTTCAAAACTAAACTTAAAGGGTAATAATCAATTAAGTATAATCAAAGACGGAAAAATCTTATTATAATCAATTAAGTAAGGGAATTTTTTCTTTTTGTATAATGAATTAAAAAGATATTAATTTCTTATGTATTAAATATTAATTAAAACAATTTTGTATTAAAAAAAATTAAAGCGCAAAATTTAGACTAAAGAGTTATATACTTAATTTTTTGCATATTATTTCTTAATGAATGTCATATGTACTTGGTTTGATTCTAATGAATGTTATATTGCGTATTATTTTGGACTTCGTATGATTAATCGGTATTTTTCGGAGATTGAGGGTAAAGTTGCAAAAATGAGTAAGTAGGAGGGTTTTTTTGCACAAAACCCTTTATAAAAAGTAAAATTGAAATAATACTTTGAAACAAAATTTGTACAATTCAAACAAATAATAATATTAGTCTTTTTATCTCGAGATTCAAGGAAAATAAGGGTGAATAATAAATAAAAAAACCAAAACAAAAAACTAATTTCTTTGGCATAAACAACTTGCATATGTTTTTTTCTCAAAGTGTGCAATACCATCCTCATGTAGAGCTGACTTCAAATGCTTGAGGTGACATAATAATCTTGGCTTAAGCTTTCCATCATTCACTTCTACACTAAGATATTATGAATAGATAAATTGAACGTGTGAACTAAAATAACAATTAAAATAATAAGCATATGCTAAGAGAATAACAAACTAACATTTTATGTGTTTATCTTTGGTACATTTTACTTTTACATTTTCTTTAGTACAGAGATAACACTCTTTAATTGTGCTCTCAATAAAATAAAAAACTAAAAAAAACAAGTAAAAATGGTTGATAAAAAGTAAACAAGAATACTAAAATAATACTGAAATTAGAAAGTTGTATTACCAAATGTCTTTTAAAGATATGAAAAGATTTCAGGTGAAATCACAATGAAAGAAATATTTGTAATAGTTATTTTTCTAGGCTTTACGAAGTGCAACACCACTACAAAAAAAAAAAACTAAAAAACCCAGGTGAAGTTATAAAGGTTTTTCCAAAATGTTTATTGTAAAAACTAAGTGCTACATAGTTTAGAAATTATGTGTGGAGAAAAGAAAATTAGACATTATTTAGAGAAATGTTCTCTTATATCCTCAAATCAAGTTTTTGGGACAAAAATAGCACTCAAAAGTTTATTGGACAAAAATAACACTCAAATGAAGTACCTTGTTTTTTATGGCACATTTTTCTTGATCGATGACAACAACACAGTGAAAGCATCTTTTCCCCATGGATAATTGATGAACTCATTCACATCTTGTGCTCTAATATGAGCTTGGGAAATCTAACATCAGTTGGAAATGAATCCCCATGGAAAACTTAAAATCAGCATCTCTCGAAACTAGAAGACGAATTTTGACTATGAACCTTGGAGTACGTGGTGTTGGAGGCGTTGAAGGATCATATGGTCACCGTTACACACAGAGCACTTACGACCGTATTTAACAGAATTTCTCTATATCAAAATGCATTTTCGAAGTTGTTGTTGATTATCTATAACAAACTCCATATTTGTGTTACTAGCTCCGTACTTTTCTTTCGCCAGGTTGCATCTAAGGTTTGTAGAGAGGAATTGATTTTTTCTCTAAATTTATATTGTTCAAAGAAATATAATCTTTTAAATCAAATTCTAATAATATTGCACTAATAATCTACAACATTAATTAAAATCAATAGAATTTAGACAAGGAGATTGATAACTATTTATTTGTTAATGTATATTGTATTGTCTTGTTTATTTTGTTGTTGTTATCGGTTTCTACTTATATTCTAAAAATTCCTTTGAAATTTATTGGAGGGTAGATATGTTTAACAAATACATATGGATGTGGTAGAATTGCTTTGAATCCACTTAACTCAGGTCTTACTAATCAGAGAACAATGTGAATTTCTTATATTTAAAGAATTTCTTTTAGTAGTTAAAGAAAAGTTTTCCTGTACCATTTTACTTCATTTGCTCATACTAAATTTTTTCTTTTTCATCTCAAATGCGACTTTGCTAGTCGTTATTATCTCAACAATGTGATGGTGAAAGATGAATCAAATGAAGCATACACGAAGGAGTCTGGAAGAGAGAATGTGTGAGAATCCATTGTACTTACCGGTTTGTTAATTTAGATTTTTAAATCCAAATTAATGTCTTGCCTATGTTTTCTTTTATGTTTATGAGCAAAAAAAACATTATGCGCTCTTAGCTCATCTTTTAAACTGTCGAAAATGTCCAACAACACTATTTGTGATACAAAAAACAATTCTATAAGGACACTTAATTTACAATCGAGGAAATATTTAGATAGTTGAGCACCGGTGATCTGAATCCACCTCCACAAAATAGTAGTTACTAAAATAACGAGTTATTTTCTAATTTACACACAATTCGATCTTCATTTCGTGGAACAATATTAAGTTCATGTGTGTTGCGGTCTGCCTTCTTCTATAAGAAGATGGACCATAGTTTTGACGACTTCGTTATGGACAATACCTGATTTCTGAAAAACACAAGAGAGAGTAGAGTTTAGTCATGAACTACTTACTTAACCAAGTAGATCAAACAAAGGATTTAATTTTTAACCTCGGGTTTTCGGATAAGATCTTTGAGAATGGAATGGAGGGTTAGTCGTAGCTCTTTGAACAAAACCGCGGTTTGAGCTGGTGCTGTTAGCTTTAACCACCCATCAATGGTGACTGATCCACTCTGCAACGAAAGGTAAGGTTTTAAGGTAAAGATCACACAGGACAAACCAAAGGCCAATTATAGAGTAACCAAAAGGATCTCAAATCATTTCCGAAACAAAGAGTCTTGAGACATATAAGATCATTCAGCTCAATGACTTGTTTTCGATGTTTGAAAAATGATTAACAGTACCTGATGATGAACATTGACTGAGCCGCCAAAAAGTAGAATGGAAAATGGAGAAACAACTGTTGTATCTTGCAGATATACCAATTTGTTTTTTTGGACCTACAAGAACAAAGAAAAGTTGAATATACTATCTGTGATTAGCTATGTTTACAAATTTACACCATAATCTACATTCTAACAATCAAATGCAATGATATAATAGGAAGCTAAATCTTAAATTCTGAGGCACATAAGTCAAAGATATAAAAACTAAAAGTCACCTTTTCAAGGAACACAATGAGAGGGTATTGAAACGCTTTGCTGTTTTTGTTTATAGAGGTTCGATCGATATGGACTTCTCTTTTGCCATCATGCCATACTGCATAACATTCTGTTTCTTTTGCTGGCTTTGTTAAACGGTTAACTAATCCCTCTGCAATATTAGGACATAGTCCCGCGCATAATATGGCCTGTACAAATTGGAAACTGAATTCAGGTGCTGACAAAAGATTAACTGATTATCCAAAAAACTTGATAACGTTAGAGCAAAGGTTCATAAGAAATTCTCATAGTATAGAAAAAGGATTTCTTCTATTGTGCAAAACAAGTTTTACGCTTAATTTTCTCGCAGAATACAATCAAGAAGTTTACCAAACTTGAAAATACATAAACCAATTTATTCTGCCATTTTGCTCTCTAGATAATGGCATTGAACTTCTAGCGCAACTAGAGATGAAAACATAGATGCTTAGTAACAACAACAACAAAGAAAAGTTCTGAGCAGTAGAGCAAAAGATGTACTTTTACCTTAACAACTTCAGGTTCTTGTGAATACATATTGAAAGATTGAGTTTTGTCAGAAAACCAAACATCAAGATTCTCTTTCCTTCTCCCCTAAGAAAAAAAAGTTCATTCATAATCAGATTTCCTTAGACAAACATGGGCTTTCTTTCTTCCCAAGCTTTATTAACATCATGGAACTTGATGATGTTGTATCAAAAACAACAATCCTAACAATGTTTTGATGCATGTAAGATCAGAGACATCTGTTCTTTGTGCCAACGCCATCAATACTTCAGATGTTGTAAGATAAGTTACCTCGCCTTTAGGAAGATTGATGAGCCCGATGTCGGCAAGCAAAAAGCCAAACTCTACTCTCCTGTCTCTGATATTTGTGAAAAGTTAAAAACAAGAAGTATATTTAAGTTACTAGACAAGAAACCAAAATAAAACAGTTTCATTTTCAATCTTTTCAATCTTTTCAAAGTACAATGTACCTTATCGTCCGCATCACTGAGCTGTTCAAAAACTTTGATTCACAGAACCTCTCTGCAGCTTTAAATCCTTGCTGGAGACACCAAAAACACAAAATACACGTCAGTATGCAGATGATTCAAGCTTTATGGACTATGCAATCACCATAAGGAGGTGGTAGACAGTAAGCGGCAGCTAGAGATACCCTTTGATCACATACCTCATGCAGTATCTTCACCCATTTCTCATATGCAACCACCACAAGGAGGTGATCAGATTGTCTGTCATTGATGTTTAAATTACTTGAACTCTCCAGCTTATCAGACAAAAGAGCAAGTTTCACCCGGTCGATATTTTGCTTTTACGAAAAAAGAGCAAACATAGAGTCAGCTGAAAACCCCTTGCGCAAAACAGTCAAGTTTCCGAGAGAGTAAACACATACCTCATCTTTGGAATATATGAATGGCGATTTGCAGCTCAAGAAAGCAGCAATCGAGAGAATAGGTGATAAGCAACCAAAAATGCCACCATATAACAGCATCTGCATTATTTAAAAGGTGTAGTGATGGTAAACAAAACATATGTTTGAGAGGCCACTTTTAATACAGCAATGATGTTACTGAAGCAAACCTTTCCAATCAACAAATCAACAGGAAGTTTTGCTAAATGATGTCCTAGTGGTGTCAACTCTTCGTCCCCTTCAAGAGCACCAACCTAAAACAGACAGGGTTTATAAAGTAAAAGGGAGTTCTTAGTGTAACAAACTCTAAAGAACTATACTTAAAAAATGGAAATGAGATTCATTAGTCACTGGAGGACAACAGTAACACATCAACTATATGTCTCATAACTTCTGGAGGTATGATCAGGAACTAATAGTATTATATCCAATACAAGTACATGGTACCTTTTGCAACAATAAAATTGCAGAGTTTATAGCACTTTCACTTGGAGGTTCCAGAGCCTAAAGATAGTAAGTGGAAAAAGAGTAAGACGAATGATAATGTTACTTCTTTTGGCACTAAAAGTTGGTGTCACTTGCCTTGGACAGAAACGGCTTAATGTGACCCAAGCCAAGTAATTTGATATGTAAACACAACTCTACTAAAGGAACCCGCAGCATCTCAGGAACCTAGACATCAAGATGACACAGGTGAGTTTAAGGGAAAATTCCAAGTGATCGAGAAACCAGCGAAGAAAACGTTTAAAAGAAAGACACCTGATAGGGACGCATGAGCTTCTCGAACCTATGACGTGTGTACAATGAAAAGCAATGTCCAGGTTTGACACGTCCAGCTCTTCCCATTCTTTGTCTTGCATTTGCTTTCGATATCCAATCTTCCACCATGCTTGACAATTTCTGATAAATATAATAATTGAGCACCAAAAGATGACATCTCAGAGAGAAAACACTTGTCATTCTATCATTAAACCTATATTCATCTAGAACTTAGTATACAGTTTGATATAAGTCCACCAATAAAGGGTACAAGCATCATCGTTCAAGGAATTTACTAGCATTTGGAATACCTTCTGAGGATTATAGCGATTTTCCTTGTGTTTTCCACTGTCAATCACATAAACCACATCATCAATTGTTATACTGGTCTCGGCAATATTTGTAGCTATGATAACCTGAATACAAAAGACAACGCAAAAGGCGAATCAGATCGGCTTTGCAGGGGTCAGTATAATTTATGGAAAAGATCTTTCACAAAAAGGGACTCAGCATTCTTTTGTTAAACATAATATTTTCATTCAAAGTGTATTATCAGCTTATTTAAAAGAAGATAACTCAAGAAACTCTTTTAACTATATTACCTTCCTTATGCCTTTAGGGGGGCGCAGAAACACTTTTCTCTGTTCTGTAGATGCAATAGAAGAATGTAGAGGAAGAAGCCAATCTCCCGAAGGTCCACGAAAACGATAGGAAGCAGCTAACCTATTGAGTAGCATGTTGATTTCTGACATTCCCTGTTATTAACCAAACAAATGTCATGCTAAAGTGATAGATGATTGATTCTCAAAATAACACAAAAGATCTCAGTATCAGCTTACAGGCAAAAACACAAGAATGGCTCCTTCCTCACAAGTGTCATCAATGTGGCATATCAACTCTTCAAGAAGCTCATAGTCAATAATATCCTCATTTAACCTTTTCTGCACAGCACTTGCAATGTATTTAACTCAGGAAAACTAGGTGAATAAGAGAAACAAAAGCTCAAACTCGAAAGGCAAAGTACCAGATTTTTTCGTGTATGGTCACTGTAAGATTCGTAATTACTAGAATCGTAAGACGAGTTAAGACCGTCCTCTGAAACCAAATAACTGTCTCCCCAGCCAGCCAACATAAGATTCTTTTTCCCCCTACGGACGTTTACAGAACCAAGCTGCAGATATTGGTCAATGTCCTGTTATCCAAAGTTTCAACAATACATCTAAATGAAATTTTCAGTATAGCATCCAAAAGATTATAATACCTCGTCTGAAATGGATGCATCAGAACTTAGAGCAGCAGGTGAATCTGAAGCCAGAAGGTACTTAGTCCTTTCATAAATGTCCTCCAGAAAGTAAGTAGTAACCGGGTGAGTTCGTCCTTGAGCAGTAATTATAGGACATTGACCAAAATATCTTGAGAACTGATGTGCATCAACAGTAGCGGACCTGAAAGGGCATCACACGCATGAATACATACGAAAGTAGTGTTTACTTACTCTTTTATATTCTGTCATCGAAAAACGAAAGAGCTACAAATACGTACATAAGGATAACTTTCAGTTTAGGTAATGCATTATCCCAGGATTGCTTCTCAATCAGGCTCTTCAAAATAATGAGAAGAAAATCACCCTGAAATGAAGTGAAAGGCATCTTCTGGTGAGATTATTCAACACTTGCAAAATGAACATATCAATGTATTGACCACTAAGCTTTGGGACTTCTCTGTATTAGTAGCATTATACTGGACTGTCATTTTAAGTGTGCTATTTTGCTTAGCAATGATGCCAAAATGTATTTATTTTGGCATGAAATTTATCGGTGCGTTAATGAATACTCACCATAAGAGACCGCTCATGCACTTCATCGACTATAATATGTGTAACATCTTTCAAGGTCTTATCCCCCTGCAAGGTTTGCACAAACGAACAAACAGATTTTAAAAAGTGAAATTGCTGATTAGTTTTTGCTTATGCCCCTGCAAGTTCTGTTCAGGTATTGCATGCTCAAAGGCTACTAAGAAAATAGGGACGTACCACAAGTTTTCTCAGTAGAATTCCGGTAGTACAAAACAGCAGCCTTGTCTTGTCACTCCTGAACAAATACACAAGGAAATAACATTACGCCCAAATAAAATTTCCTTCAACAATAACTCCAAGGAACACATTCAAGGTAAAAACCAGATTTAAAATTACACTGACAATCATCAAACTGTAGTGTCAGAATGCAACCATTATCTAATAGTGAAGCATAAAAAAAGCATAATGAACAGTTGAGATTATGTGTTGAAGAAGGAAAAGCTTCTAGTCATCCATTGCAAGCCACATAGCGATAAAAAGGCATACAAGCAGAACAAAGTGAATTGAGCTCAGAAAACGATAGAAAAATGCTTAAATTAAAGAGGCAGACCTTGCATTTTGATGACGAACTTGATAAGCAACCACGGAGCCATCGAAGCCTGGAGGAGGTTCACAGCGCTCTTCAGCAACTCTTTGAGCAACAGAGATAGCCTAAACCATATTACACAGTTACAAACAGAAACAAAAAAGTAGAAATAGTATAGCGCTTTGCTAATTGACATCGTTAAGATTTTCAGAAGTAAAAGGACAACCGAGAATCAATGGATCGCAGTTTATATCAGTATAAACCAAACAAGCATTTCCTGAAAACAAGACATCTTAACACCGAGATACTCACAGCTAACACCCGAGGTTGTGTGCATATAATATTACAGTATCCACCATGCCCCGAATCGATCATATCATCCAGTATGAATTGAGGAACCTGGAATAATGTATCAATTAGAAATGACTCAAAGTTTATAGATGGAAGATATGCTACATAACAAGGAGCAACTACAAAGACCAAACCTGTGTAGTCTTTCCAGAGCCTGTTTCGCCGCATACCACCAAGACATCTTTTTCTTTCAGATTCTGCAGTATATCATTCTTCACTTCTGATATAGGAAGAGCAGCTCTAGTTTTCAACATATCCTACAAAAGAATAATATGATTACTAGTAAAAGCTGCAGTAAAAAAAGGTTTTACCATGCCGAAAACAAAGTCCTACATTCCTAACCGGAATGAGCTAACTAGTCTGTGAAGCTTTATACATATAACTGTAACGTGTAAGATTATCTACATGAACTACTTATTTACTGTAGCCAGAGCCAAACTTATGTTCAAGAATAAACAAGAATATTATACCTTGTACTTCTGCACCTTCTTCTTGTTTTCTTGTTTTTGTTTGAGAGAAGAACACTCAGCTTCCACGGAAGAGTTTCCTGTAACATATCATACAAAAGATTATACTTCCTGCTTATGATTTTGGCAGTAAATTCCAGGGTTATATTATACAATCTGTGACAAATTGAATCCAAGAAACGTACTTTTAGCTCTATGGTTAGATTTGACAACATCCAAGTCATCATTCTCTTTGACACAGGAGTCTACCATTGGAAGTGCATCTTGTATGCCACGCGAAGAAGTGGTCAAGCTGAAATTGTCTGCCTCAAGCAAGCTGTCAACAAATTTTGCTCTCCGTTCTTCTTCTTTGCTTTCTATTCCCAACGATTCTTCTGTGAAAGCTCAAAGCAACTATTTTAAGAGGCGATCATAATATTGCAACCATTTAAGGCCAGAACATATGAATGTTGACATCTGAAATATGTCAAAACAATTAGTACTTCATCCACTAAAGTTGTTGTAGAGTTACCATGGTCTATATCACAATTCCTGAACTAGTAAGAAGACTTTGTAAACTAGGTCAATCATTTGATAATTTAATGAACATTTGTTCTAAAACAATAAACAAAGAGCAAATTTACAAAATCACCTTGTTTCCAGACCAAAACTAGAGAGGCATAAGGTTCAGTAATTGCAAAGTGAACAGGCAAATCAGAAAATAGCTTATGGAGAGCAAATGCCGCAACTCTGTTTTGTGCATCCTGTCACACACAAGTGCACAATAATTAGCAAGCTGAATATATAGTAAGCATATAATACATGCACAGATGATAATTAGCATGCTTATTATATCAGCAAATCATACATACATTGATGATTATTTCCAATCAACAGCTTACAACTTCCATAAGGTTCATAATCAGAAGTTTCCAAAATTTTGAGCAATGTTGTTTAGCAAATAATAGTACACTATAGAACCTGGCAAATCAAGGAACTAAACTCTATCTTTCTTGCAAGAAGATATATCCCTAATAACATTTACTCACAAGAGCCTAACTAGACACTTGTTTTATAATTGATTATACAGATCAAGCGAGTACCTGGATGGATTTAAAATCCTCAACTTGATGAGGAAGTTGAATAGTTACCAGACCCCCGGCTTGTCTGCTTTTACCAAATCCACTGGATTTACGCATAACACTTATGGTATATGAGAAGTTGCTTCCTTCCCCAGTTACTTTATTGAACTTTGGTGCTACCCACCCTGACCTTTGACACAGCTGATGAAGTAATGCCTTCGGGATCTTTTGCGCTTCACCCTGTAAAACTTATAAATGTTAAAGAGAATCTTACAAAAAGTCAAGCATATGTGACAAAGTGACTAGAACAAACCAAGAGGAGAAAAGCACAGCGCAGAGAAAAAAATCAAAACTTACAAAATGTAACTAGAGAAGGAAATTATATGTCTATCGAACATTGTTAGAACTCAACTGCTTGATCAAAATGTCAGCTTATATGGCAAAGTGACAAATGAAAAGCATCAAACACCTATTACTTGCAATAGTATTTTATGAGCTAAACGGTTTTTTTCGCATAGGATCTTGTTAGGTGAAGAGTTACCTTCTTCCAGATACCCTTTAGTTTAGTAAGATTTTTCTCATTGCATAGTTCTCTCATAATTTCCTTCTTCTGTAATTCCAGGAGTTCATGGGGAGAAGGTACATAAGGCGGAACATCTTCTACGAACAAATCGCCAAGGTCCAAGTCATCTAAAGTATCATTAGACACAACTGATTCTTGTCCCGAAGAACTTAAGGAAAGAGCTTTAGGTTGAGTTTCCTCAGATTTACAGCTCCCAACCGGAATTGCATCCAAGGTCAAGTCATCAAACAGCTGAAAAAAGAAAGCATCAGCATTTACTGACTCATGAACGTCACCAGGCATGGGGAAAGTAACTTCTTTTTCTTTAGCGCCTTCACAATCTTGACGTTCACGCTGAAACTCAGATTCCAATATTGCTTCTGATGGCCCTGGAAAACAAACACAGATAGCTCATGACATACTGCACCAAGTCAAAATTGATAGAGTGATTACTAAAAAGGGTTAAACTTAACCAAGAGCATTCATCTCTTGCTTGAGCTTGCAAATGGCTAGGCCTGCTTGCCTCTGCCCACTTTTATCACCCTTCCTCTTTGCTTTTATAGCATTAGATCTTTCTAAACAATAATCTTTGGTAATCACTTCAAAAGGCCTTGGACCAGATACCTAATACAATAAGTAACAATATTGTGAAGTCTCCTAACAAATATATATCACTACAGAGGGAGACAAGTAAATTAATATTTTATCTCCCAAACTTAAGTAAAGTCTCTAATGCCAAAACAGATTAATCATTAATAATCAGCACAACAACAAATTATGCTCCAAATTCAATATCTTCAAGATACATATAAGAACTTTGAAGGTATAAGGTCCGCATCTACTAGGCACCCTGATAAAGAGTTGTGTTACCTTATCTCCTTCATCGTCCGAAGATTCCAATTCTTCCTGAAAATTTATTTCAAAGAGAAAATCCGTTGTGATTTTCCGCCTTGAGATCAAAGTATTAGGCTTTTGGAAAATGGTTGAAGCATTCTATACTTTAAGTACCTCTTCCAGTCTTTTCATATACTGACGGATCCAATCAGCTTGAGATGATTGACAAGAACTAAGACTATCTTCTTCTTCATCTCGCTTGCTCTTCACTCTAACTAAAACTTCAGATTCAGTCTCTTCCTTAACCTGGACTGATGATTCAGCAGATTCAGCAGACACATTCAAATCTTTCCTTGATTTCGATATCACCGCCACAGAACGTCCTACAAACACCAATAGGTAAAGTACAACCATCAATACGCGTAAATACCGTATATTTTCCCGAATTACAACAACATTACCTGTGGTGGGAACGCGAGAAGCTCTGTTAGAATAGTTCACTGGCAATTCGTGACTCGGCAAGTTCAAGCAGAGCCAATCTAGTGAAGTCTCAAGCGTTGCTCCATCCTTAAAAAAAACAAACACTTTGTATAACGAATCGCCTAAAAAAACAGAGAAATGTACGGACAAATGCGAGAGTTAATTACCCTAAGAGAGGAGAGAGCGAGTTCAATCTGATCATCTAAAAACCCTTCGCAAGAGAGATTCTCGTAGAGACTATTAAGTTTCTTTCTCTTCTGAGTCACAGAGAGAGACGCCGTGACCGGAGAAGGAGTCCGGCGAAAGTTGAGCAAGAGCCGTCGCAAACGGTCTTCGTTTTCCGGCGAAATTAGAAGCTTTGGGGATTTAGATGGTTTCTTGTGGCCTGAATTAGGTATTGAAGAAGAAGTAACTTCGTTGTTGCTTTGTTTCTTCTTCTGAAGTTTCTTCTTCGGAGCCATTTCTCTTCGTCTTCTCTTCCCCGATCAGTGGAAGAAGAAACTGTTCATTTTTCAATTTTCGAGTTTCTTTCATTTTTTAGGGCTTTTTGTTTGGAGCCAAAATTTTAAATTGCATTTCAACTTTGCCCAAATATTATTGTCCCCAAAAAAAATCTTCAACTCAAAACGAAAAATTTAATAACATATCTAATTTCATGATTTGTTTTTTTTTTTCCCGCTCATGGTTTTTTTCTTAATTCTTTGTCATATTAATATGTATACTATGTTAAAAAAAAAATTAATATAAGACTTAATATGCTTTAGAATAATGTAAATATAAGAGAAAAAACAAATTTAGAGGAGACAGGAGTATATGAGAATTCTCCAGATATTTAATTGAATAATGTTCCGGTCTATTGCTCTACTTAAGAGTGTTTCGAAATTTTGTTGTCTAAGAGCATCTCCAACCCACCTCTATATTTGCCTCTAAACTCTATTTTAGAGGCAAATCTACTCCATGCCGGATACAAATAGAGCAATAGTTATATGAAAAATTCTTAGAATTGTGATGTTTAACTATTTTGGTTTAGTTTATACTAGGTGTGTGCATTATGTGCATTGTAAAATAATTATTATTAAGTAAATGTATTGTAATTAATTACAAAATTTATTGTATCCGTTTACTTATAAAGTAAAATAACTATAAATCGTAAATTGATTACCTTTCCTAGGTTTCTTATTCGATATTGCAGGTGGACTAGAGCGACGGAGACGACACCAAGATTTCCTTCTCGAACCCAGAGGAAAATCAAAGCGACGGAGGTTGAGAAATGACCAGAAATCGAGGGAAATTGAAGCGACAAAGGTTAAGAAATTACCGGAAATGGGTTTTGTGGTGACCGGAAAAAGGATTCGTGGTGGCGATGGAGGTTTAGATTTTCAGAGAAAAAATGACCTAAGTGTTTGCGTGTTTTGCATTTGTCTAAGAGTTTTGGCGAGAGTAAGAGTGGCGGAAAAAACTAAGTTTTGGCTAAGTGTTTTGCCTCCAAAATGAGTTTCCAACTATAGTAGTGATCTTTGGCCTTTCATAGGAGACCTTCTTTTATATATCAGCAATCCAATTCATTGGGATATTTAAGGTTTATTTCATGTTGGCTAAAGTATTTATAATATTTATAAATATGATAAATCCTACTCCAACTCCTCTTTCATATTATTTAGATCCCTTCTTCTTGGTGTGAAGATGAGTATTTATAATATTTTGATATAGTTAAGGAACCAAGCCAAAAACATTTTGGGCCAGGCGACCTAGTGGTAGAGTTTAGTATGTTGAATGTCGCATGTTTACATTCGCGCAAAGTGATTAAACTGTAGTGATCAGTTTGCATGGCTGTGATTTGACGTCATTGGTTGAGCAGTCGTGTCTAAACATTGTTAATGTAAATGTTGGCCATAAAAAAACAAAAATTGGAAACAGAGAGTGTAAATGGTAACATCGAAAAAATATTCAGCTGAATTCAGCCAGATTCAGCAATTCCGCAGTTACCATTTACATAAAACTAAATTCAGCTGAATTCAGCTACATTCAACAGTTCTTCCAACACCAAAAGATAAGTAGTATGTTTATTTCAGGTAAAAATTCGGATTATAGCGATTACACAACTCGAATTTAAATATTTTGGATATCAAAAATTACACATCAAATTTATATTTTAAAATAAGTCAGATCATACAAATACGATATATGAATAATTCAGATACATAAAATCATTATCAGAATAGACAAGAGACGAATTTATGTTCGGATAACTGTAGATAACTTTAGATAATTTAAATCACTTTTAGATAATTAAATATATTTTTTCAAAATTTCGCAAAAACAACTCATACTTATGCTAAAATAAATATTTAAAATATCAAATTTTTTAAAAATTCTTAATCATCCTAATCATATTAATGATTTTAAACTACTAGAGAACAATTAACAATCAGTTAGATAATCTATACTATATTATCATGTTTATTTTTCAATTAAATTTTCAATAAAACTTTGACAAAGCTTTTTATTAATTAATTACATAGTTCAAAAAATTAAATTTGGAAGAACAACTTAATTTTGCTAACAATATATTTTTTAATAATAATATGAATTATAGTATTTATTTATAGTATAAGAGTTAATTAGACTATTAGATGATTTTATCTATTTTATTTAGATATTTTTCTTAGTTATTATATTAATATTTATAATTATTTGACGATATTTTTCAATTAAAGTCTTAATTATTTCGACAGATTCTGCTAAAAATCACAAAAAAATTCAGCTAGATTCAGCGGTTACCATTTGAAAATGTAAAAATTCAGCCAGATTCAGTTAAAAATCACTAAAAATTCAGCCAGATTCAGCAATTCAGCCGGATTCAGCCAGATTCCTCGGTTACCATTTAGACCCTCTATTTAAAATATTGGGAAAAAAATCCATATTTAACTATATATATAGTAGGTAACGAAATCATTCTCTTTATATTTGTTTTTACTATAAATAAATGGAAATAAATTGAAATATTCTTTCTTTTCATCATTGACCAGAAAATTAGCTTTTATGTATGTTTGTGTTATTATATAATTATCCCAAGTGAAATAAAAATGTAAACAAGAGATAAGAAAATACAATACAAATGACTACCACCAAGAAAATGTTAGTTGCATTTGTTCTCACTGTTCTCTTGGTCATATCTTCTGTTCACTGCTCCGATGACACTCGTGGTACTACTTTATAATTGTATAACTCTCCACTTTTTAGTTATCGACATATTCTTTTACTCTTTTTACATATCTGTTTGACGATTAATATTTAATAGGTTTTGGCATAACGGAAAAGGAAAAAAGATGCTTTACACCATATATATGTACAAGGGGAGAGCAATATTGCCAGGTGTTTTGTGCAGGATTAAGTAGTGTATTGGTGGGTAAATGTATTTCTGGTATATGTTGTTGTTTTTTGAACACAAAATAATCTAATCAAAAAGTGGTATCTTCTAATAAAAGAAAACATCTATTATCTTCAAAACGATTTGGATATCTATGAAAAAGATCGATATAATTCAAACCAAATCTAAAAAAATTGTGATACAACATAAAGAAATATTGGAATCGTCATCACATGTCTTGTGGATGAAGAAATCACAGGTTTTGCAGTAGTAGCCATCATTAATAGCATCAAAACGTTCACAACAATCACCTTTCCTCAAGATCGGTTTAGCGCGATCTTGAGGAACCTTTTAAAACTTCAATAAGTAAATTTAGATGATGGAGCAATTAGATGATGATGAACCCATACACTTAAACATGTTTGACTTTACCGATTTTCTTTATGATCAAATTCACTCTCATGTAACATTTTTGGCAGTAATATATTTCTTACTGTCTTGTAAATTGTTATAGACAATTGAGCTCTGGGAATATCAATTGACCTACCTAAAACTGAAAAATATTAGCTATGGAAGTCACCTTAGTATCAACATTGTGTCTTATACATGTTCACCTTCAAATCCTGGTGAAGTACACACAATTTTCCCCACGATGTGATACTATTTCCTTTTTAAGTTCATGTGTGTTGCGGTTTGCCTTCTTCTATAAGAAGATGGACCATAGATTTGACGACTTCGTTGTGGACAATACCTGATTTCTGAAAAAAATGAACAAAAGTGAAGAGTGAGGAGAGATCAGGCATGGGATTACTTCACCAAGTGGATCAAACAAAGGTTTGAACATGTAACCTCGGGTTTTCGGATGAGATCTTTGAGAATGGAATGAAGGGTTAACCGGAGCTCTTTGAACAAAACCGCAGTTTGAGCTGGTGCTGCTACCTTCAACCACCCATCAATTGTGACTGATCCACTCTGTAATAAAAGATACGGTGTCAAGGTAAAGAGCACATAAAATCAAAGAATAAGCAGAAAATTCCATCTTTGTTTTGCTAACAGCGAGAATACACGATATGGCTAACTGTACCTGATGATGAACATTGATTGAGCCGCCAAAAAGTAGAATGGAGAAAGGAGATACAATGGTTGTATCTCGCAAATATACTCTGTTCGTTTCGACCTACAAGATAATAATATTTACCCATGATTATATGGTTAAACAATTAACACTAGAATCTGCCTAGTAACATCAAATTGAATAACAAGTTAACAACAAACTACCATGTTTGTCCAATATCATCAAATTGATAGAAAGATAAGTCTGAAATTCTCAGGCACGTAAATCAGAGGGATATATAACAGTAAAATCAAATGCTTCAGATATAGGTTACCTTCTCAAGGAATACAAGGAAAGGGTATTGAAATGCTTTGAAGTTGCTGTTTATAGAAGATGGATGGATATGAACTTCTCTTCTGCCATCGTACCATGCCGAGTAGCTCTTTGTTTGGTTTCCTTGCTTTGTCAAGCTGTTAAACGCTGTCTCTGTAATTCCTTTATCATTGGCTGCTATATTAGGATACAATCCTGCGCATAGTATAGCCTGTACATATTGACAACCGAATTCAGTTACCCACCAAATAGATAATGACATAGAACCTCTTTTACAATTGTAGTATAGATTCTTGGCAACACGAGAGCACCAGATGTACTTTACCTTAACAACTTCAGGTTGTTGTGAATACATATTGAAAGGTTGAGTTGGGTCAGAAAACCAGACATCAAGATTCTCCTTTTTTCTCCCCAAAAACTACGATAATAAACAAAGAGATTCCTGATCAGATTTCATAAAACAAACCTACAGCCTTCTTTCTACCCAAGCTTACAAATATGATGGACCTCATTGAGCTGTATCGTAAATTTGAGAACTATCATTTCTATGTTCTGGTAAGATCAGACTCATGCGTGCTTTATGCATATGCAAAATGTTTCAGATGGGGTTAGATAAGTTACCTCTCCTGTTTTAGGAAGATTGATGAGCCCGATATCGGCAAGTAATGTGCCAAATTGTACCCTCATATCTCTGATAATTGTGACAAAAGAATAATAAGATTTGAAG